TTTTTGTTTTTTTTTTTTGCTTAATAACTCGAGTTCTATCAATGTTCAAACTTTACTTACGTGAGATTAGTTTCAATCGCTGCGGTTATGTCCTTTCGGCTGTATCAGATGAAAAGAATCAGAATTGAATCAATAGGGTTTAAACTGTGTAAGTAATGAAACAACTTTATTCGAAATATAAAAATTAATAAACACACAAACAAGAAGAAAAACTACGGCTAGCATCTACTTACTAATAAAAAGTATAAATGAAGCTTGTAATCCAAATTACTTTACAACATTTAATAAACGTTTGACTTGAACTTTAGGGTTTTGGCTACTGGCCAAAGATTACTATTTTGAAGCATTTTAAAAATACCAATATGTTGTGATTATTAAATATTACCTTTGACACAATTACAGGAAACGAAAGACAAACTAAAGAACTCTGTTTTTTTTATTTAGCAATACAAACAAAATATTGTCTTACTTCATATAAGCTTCAACGTAACGTCTCAGATTCAGGGGATTCACTTTCTTTTTAAGTGTTTCTGTGTACTCTTGGATAAGTGTCTCTTTGTTTTCTACTGTCTCAATTTCCTAGACGAGATGAAATAATTTTTGAAATATGCAATTAAAAGTAACATAATATTCAACATTGTTCTGGTATTTCAAGTTTAAAATCCGAGTGAAACTGTGACAAAATATAATAGTTACTTCTTACATTAAAGTTTAATTTAAAAAAGGACTATTTTATTTCCAACATGAATGTTTGTTTTCTGAAGAAGAAAAAAACATATTTGATAGCTAATTATTGTATTGATGATAGCAATAAACATGGTGAACTGGCGAATGGATCTGATCAAAAACTTGTTTGTTATTTCTAGTGTTACAACATGATGATATTTTGATGGTAAGTCGTTCAATTAAAAGTATGACAAAAGTGATATTTTGAAATAGCAAAATATTATAAAATAGTAATGTAGTAACAGTTTAGGCCTACGGTTAAAATCAGCAATACAGACAACAGTGATATTTTGAAATAGTAAAATATTATAAAATAGTATAATACTAACAGATTAGGCCTACGTATAAAATCAGCAATACAGACAACACATTATGGTCAAAACAAGAACTTCAATTCAACAGTTATATTGAAAAGATTTATTATTTCTGATAGAAAATACATGTATATTACGTTATCTGAAATATTATTTTACACAATGATTATTACCAAAGTTTAAAACAAGTAAGTCTTAAACCGATCTTACATCTTTTCGTGACGTAAATGCACGTGTTTAATGTCATACAGCAAATAACGTGACTTAAAGAGATTTATTTAAATAAGTAACAGCGTTACGACACTGAGATAAGGCAGACAACTTTTGAAAATGCGAAATCATGCACTGGCCTTACAAGCTTAGACGTTCCTCAACAATTATAAACATCCACACGATACGATACCAATACACAAGCTCAAAGTGCAACAGTTTTACCTTATTCAAAGTTTTAGAACAAATAACGTTACCATGATACGACAGTTCTTTTAGATAAATATTTCACGTTACCTCCTGTAGGAAGTTTGTCAGCCAAGGAGAACATCGGGGTCATCGGCACACACAGACAGAGATACAGAAGAAGAAGAAGAAGAAACAAACACGAAAATTTGGAGTAGATTAGCACTACATAACAATTGCAGTTAAGAGGCAAAGACAAAATTTACACACAACGATCTAAACTGATATTGTTTAGTATTTCATTAATAATGAGATTTGCTTTAAAAGGACGTGAGATTAAATTTCAAACTATAATTTGTTTTGCATACGAAAACCGGTTTGATTAAGAACAACAACAACAAAAGATATATATTGTTACGACATCGGAGGTCACGTGACGCTAATAACACGTCATGCGCTTCTAGAACGTTCATGTCCCTTCCTGAAGTGTCGAGAGGTCACTATATATGCGGTATTATTGTGTATATAAGACCGGTAAGAAGTGACGGCAACAATGTAATGTAATTGAACTGCGGACAGAGAAAGACGTATTGTTGGGTCGAGCGCGTGTGTCGTTCGTTGTGGATTATAGCGTTTGTTTAACTTATAGTGTGACCGTTGAAATTAAGTGAATTTCAAAGTTGTATTGAGAAAGAATAAACCAGTTGTATTTAAGAAAGGACTTGTGTGGCTAAAGTTTCATCGGAAAGAAATTATACGGGAAGTTAACTAACGACCAGAGACGTAACAATATATTTCTTTCAGGGAGCTTCTCAACCCGCTAATGAGATGAAGGAAGCAAATTTTGTTAAAAGGGTAACCTTCACCATCACAGAATTACTAAGTTATAGCATTAGTTACACAAAACTAAAAAGTAGCATCTGAGATATGAAGGTCAACTCTACAAATATCTTACTGAATTCATCAAATACCCTGTTAATTTTTCTTAAATAAGGTAAAGAACACAAAACTAGAGATTAAAGTTTTCGAGTCCATGTTGATATCTTTGAAAATGAAACTATTTCATCCACGTGATCATTTCTTCGTCAGATTTTACGAAGTTCATTACACATTTAGCATTTAATAGCAAAAAAAGAGGAAACTCTACAAAAAACACTTGATATGATAAATCATATTGTCTTTTATTATGGAAAGTCATAGGTCATGCAATGGCGTAAAGATACAACAAATAAAATTAGTTTGAATATAACAGTGTGCCACAAAACGAGCATTTCGTATTTCACAAAGCGGTCAGAACTAGAATTTTAAATTTTACACTTTTCTAAAGAGGTCGTAATTATTATTACAGTTTCGTTAGGTTTTCGACTAAACTATATATATATATATATAAAAGAGTTGCTAGCTTTAAAAATTTGAGGAAGGACCACATAATACACGTAAAATGAAAATTATCAAAACAAAAGAAACGATCCCTGGTTAAAGACAAAGGTAAGTAACACAATTTAAAATGAAAGAGTCCTCTAACTGTTAACTTGTCTAACGAAGCTTTTACAAAATTTTGTCAAGTATATTAGGTAAAGCTGACACCTCATAGTATATATCTGAATCTTCTAAATTGTGGGCGTAGAAATGATCCGAAACCGATGATACGTTAAGTTTCATAACGCTTCCGGTAGGGGGCGCTTAATAGGGTAGGAGACCCATGTGAACGTAAACGTTTAACTGCAATTAACAAGTTTGTTTGTTTGAAGTTAAGCACAAAGCTGCACAATGGGCTATCTGTGCTTTGCCCACCACGGGTATCGAAACCCGGTTTCTAGCGTTGTAAGTCCGCAGACATACCGCTGTGCCACTTGGGGGCGTAATTAACAAGTAAAATCACTTACGCTGTTTTTACATGAAATATTACCAAGTGTTCATTTGATAAAAAAAACTATACTTGTGCATAAACAAAAACATCAAATAATCCACTTTGTACTATTATGATTTTTTGTAACAAAGCGACTTCCTGATGTATGCTACCCAGTTTTTAGTTAAGGAAATTTGCTTCAAATAATCCTTTTTTTTCACGCAGTATGTCCTTCTGCAACCAGAATAATCCCGTCAATATGTTCCGCCTTTTTCCAATCGCTATACTACCTCGTAAATCGATTGTAGTGTGATAGAGGGCGTTGAATTAATCGAGTTAGCCCTAAAGATTCAACCTAAAAATATATATCTTATACTGACGTATGGCTAAACATTTATGAGGAATTAGCTCCAGTAAACAACAGGTATTTACATAATAATTTAATGCAACTCTTTCTATTCAATCGGTCACTGCATGTAAAATATCAAGCTATAACAAAATACAGACAACGTCCAAGAATCAAGAACATGCAGACAACTGACACTTGTCTTCAATCTTACCGGTCCAAATTTATGAAGAACAAGAAACTGCTCTGCCGTTGGGTTCACCCCGATCGTTTGTAAGTGCCAGTTCAAAATCTAGATCCAAGGAATAAAAAAAGCAAACAAACAAACAACATTAATTTCTGATACGAAATTCAAGTTTAGATATTTGGAAAATACAAAAACTCAAACTGGTTTTTATGAGCTTTCAGGTTGTTCTTTTAGCGCAAAATTACACAATTGGCTCTGTCCACCGCAGGAAATCGAACCTCGGATTTTAGCGTTGTAAGTCTGTAAAGTTACCGCCGACCCACTGGGGCCAAACTTTCAAATGGAAATGTATTTCGATTAGTTTAGAAAGACAGAAAGCTGATGCATTCATGCTTATTATAATTTTGGTAAACCACAGCTACCTTTACAGTTTCAAAAGTTTTATGTAGCAGAGACCCGTAAAACATATGCGATCAGATTAGTATCTTTGTTGCAATAGTACTTTTTAAACTCAGGCTTTCTAGAATAATATATACGAATTTTAATCGCAGACACCGAAATCTATAAGCCCACTTGTCTTAGGCCTAACATTAGTTAAGCCTTTAATAAGTAAGGCCTATATTCGATAAAGAGATAAATTAACACTGTAACTTGTGTAAGTTCTTTGCTTTAGTTTAGTTAGGGCTAAGCTTTATCGTACTTAACGCTATCAATAAATAAACTTATAGTTTTATCATGCTTTAGACTTTTTTAAAGAGTTTTGGTAAGTTTTTTTATATATGGTGTACAAAATGTCTACTAAACTATATTTACATCATTTTAAATGAAGTACGCGCGTTTGTGCATTTTCAGGACAGACAAAAACTGAGTATATTATAATAGATTATAGCTTTAGTTTTTAAGAGATAAGAAAGCCCAAGGTAAATTCAGTATTAATGTCATAATATCATAAATTATTTTCAACTTAACAACAAAAAAAAAAAAAACAGGAAAAATCTGTGACTCTTTACAACCATTTCTTTTATAACATTAGTAAAATTTCATGTTTTTCATCTCGTCGAATACACATTATTTTGCCTTTGCTTTTTTAATTAATTCTTTGAATATATTATAAAATAGCTTCATCATAAATACGGTACTGGATACTACCGTACTGGAAGATTGTTTGTTATGGATTTCGCGCAAAGCTACACGAGGGTTATCTGCGTTAGCCGTCCCTAATTTAGCAGTGTAAGACAAGAGGGAATGCAGCTAGTCATCACCACCCACCGCCATCTCTTGGGCTACTCTTTTACCAATGAATAGTGGGATTGATCGTCACTTTATAACACCCCACGGCTGAAAGGGCGAGCATGTTTGGTGTGACGGGGATTCGAACCCGCGACCCACAGATTGCGAGTCGAGCGCCCTAACCACCTGGCCATGCCGGGCGTAGGCTGGTATAGCAAAGGTTTTAGTAAAGTTCAGATAATTCATTTTGGCAACTGTAGTACATTTTGGAACCAATTTAAATGATTTGTTTTTAGAACTTTGCACAAAGCTACTCAAGAGTTGAGCACCCTAATCAAAAAGTCATACCAGGCCGCCATTTTGTAACTAATATGGCTACAACAGAAACTCACTTTACAGCCTAATATATTGCTATTTTACACTAATTATGGAACGTTGTTATAAACAACATAAAAAGCGGAGAAAAGTGAAAATGGTATTACTTAAAAACGTTAAGATTACGCCCTCTATAACAGAGAAATCAGCATAAATCTGGCTTTAGTTCTTCATTGTTTTGAAAATTGATTTACCAATAATTAATACATTTTAAATATAAATTATATTAACCATTCAACATATATTTTAATCCGAGAAAAGCGAAAAAAAAACGAAGACAATACACAAAAACAACAACAGCATTATAAGCCGTCGGTACATCTCATAAAAACCCATCTTCTCTTCTCTCCAATAATCGTTACCCTGCACTATTTATGGCACGGCTACTCAGGCTACATCCTATCATCCACGTTAAAGTATTCACTGCCACTCTTGTCACGCACCCATAGCTTGAAGTGGCGGGTACATTTTGTAGTATCGTATGGATCTGAACCCGACTCCAGAGCTTTACCACAGGGCAAACACGCAATCCCCAACCCAACCTAACTGAATTCTGAGTCCACAATCTTGTAATAAAGGTTAATTTTTAAAGATGGTAAAGGATTTTGTACATATAATCTTCCTTATTTATACGGATACGTCCTGAATCTGTTTTATATGTGAATAGAAATAACTGGTATTGTTCGTTCGTTATTAAGCGCAAGGCTACACAATGGGCTGTCTGTGCTCCGCCCACTGAGCCAACGGTGCAAGGAAGGGGTTAGTAATATTGTACACATATGTGACGTATTTTAAGGAGCACAATATTAGCGTGTTTTTACGGGTTGAATAAGAACAGATATAATAAAAAACCTTAGTAAAACAGCTATGAACCTTTCTTACCTTATCTTTGAAATATTCCATCATTCCAACTCCCTTGGAAACGCAATGAATCAGGATCAGTCCAAGAACACGGGAGGGATGGGTGAGCTATACCGTGAAGTAGAGAACAAGGTGGACAAAATGAGATATTTTTAACAACGATAAAATTACGTTAAGGACGTAAAGCATGTAAAATAATTTGTTTTGATTTTTTCAAACATCTCTCAGAAAAGTCAGAAATCTCATATATCCCATAGAAAAACAATAGATTAATTTATCACTTTTTCATAAACAAAGAGTTTTAACATGTCAGATTTCTACTTGTTGACGGAAAAGATTGAAATCAATACCAAAATATTAACTACATCGTTTTTATTAACATGTAAAAAAAACAAGGAATTTCTAAAACGTGATATAAAAAAATTATAATCTTCTCAAAGTTATGAAAAAAGCGAGTTAACAGAAATGACCATGCTTCCCTTCAAAAATTTTTCTGAAACTGTTTGTTTGTTTTGAATTTCGCGCAAAGCTACACGAGGACTCTCTGCGCTAGCCGTCCCTAATTTAGCAGCATAAGACTAGAGGGAAGGCAACTAGTCATCACCACCCACCGCTAACTCTTGGGCTACTCTTTTACCAATGAATAGTGGGATTGACCGTCACATTATAACGCCCCAACGGCTGAAAGGGCGAACATGTTTGGTGTGACGGGGATTCGAATCCGCGACCTAGTGAGTGCGAATCGAGCACCCTAACCGCCAAGCCTTGACTAGAAAATAATATATCAATTTACAAAAAGAAAGATAATCACATACTTATATCACTTACAGCAAATCTGACAAGAATGTTGGCTCCAGCTCCTTCTCCAAGCCCTACGATTAGCTTGATCCTAGTGGAAATCGAAATAACGGTAAACATAAGAGGTTCTTTTTTAAAAACCAATTCATTTAAACGAAGGACCGTGAACACAAAATCTACTGTTGGCATGCGTATTCTACGGCTCTTATTAAACTGTTCGATTAGAGAATCATCTATTATATTTATCGGAATAATTTTTCGTGTGTTTACTAACGAATTAGCAAAACTAGAAACATGAAATTATTCCGACAGAATTATGAAATATTGTTAAAGATTCAACGTCCAAACGCTGCAATTTTTAATGTCAACATGTATATAAATTTCTAGCTTTGCTAGGTAATTAAAAGATCGAACAGTTATTAGATATTACGTAAAACAAAAAGAGAAATAACTCACAGCTTGGTAATAAAGTAAACTGACAACTGAAGTTAATCAAAAGATTTGGTTTAAAAATAAGCCTCATTTATCCGAGCTTCCAATACAATGATCATTCAATCGAAATTTTACAACTGGAAGTACGTGTCAAACGTTCTTTTGGTATTTGTATATTGTTCAAAAAAAGAAAAAAAAGATTAAATCTTCATTTTGGCATTTGACTTGGTAATTCTAAATGTAACCAATTTCCCTTACTAGAGAAACCCTGGAATTATACCAAAGTAGAAAAAATGGGGCATGCTTTAATTGGTTCATTTGATTTAAACTAATATAAGAATTCCACTTAAAAAAGAATACTTTAATGGAAACACATTGCCCCTTCCCTAAAAATAGGCTTAACCTCTTTTAATTAATAATAGAACATCACCATTGCATTCCGTTCCATCACGATATAGGAAAAAAAATGACTTTTTTTTTTAAATAAACTCATGCACCAAATTCCTGAGCCATAAAAGCAGTTTTGCTCAGTTTCTCTAACGTTTATAAAGAGTTTGTCTAAAATTTTCAGAATACATGATTTACATAAATGGCATACATATATATATGTAT